ATGCCAACGTGTACACGGGACTAAACGGTGATGCGCAGAAACGACTGTAATAAAAGGTAAATTACATTTGAGTACTACTGTACGATGTTCACATTTTCCTGATTATCAGAATAAAAAAATATATTGATATAGTAATGTTAGTTCTTTTATTTTCAAACCAATAAAAAAGGATGACGGTAATAAATCTCGTTTTGCGTGGTTACGAATTAAAATTATGTTTTTGATGCGTTATTTATTACTGACTGAAGCAGAATATAAAAATGAAACTCAGAAACATAAAGCAATCATTACGTGGTGTAGAATATAAAAGCCAGTTTTAATGTGTTAGAGATAGCTGAATATGGTAGCTAAATTACAAAATAATAATTCACCTACAACATGTCAATAAACAGTAAAATAAAATATCTTGCTCCAAAACTTTCATATCTTTAAATTAGTAATATGCAAGAGTTAAATCAGCCTATTGCGGGTGCATATGCTGGTTTAAGTATGATATAAATTATTATTTAAATATGGAAACTGATTCTTAAATTGGTAGGCTACAAAAAAAACGTATGTTTACAGTAATTTTAAGACAAGTTATGTGGAGATAAACAATGGTCATTATTCAAGAATAACTCTAATTCATTTGCGTGCAAGTAAAAGAACCACATCTCCACCCCCCCCTTCACCCGCAAACCCTGACTGAGCTATAACACGATTTACCCTTCACTGATGTTAGCTGAAATTGTGCCTTTATCAATATCGTAATTTACGCGTTCATTTCAGGAAGCAGACAAAATTATTGAAACCTTTCTGGGTTATAACCAATAAGCTGTATTTAACTATTCACAAATGTAAGATAATATTTATTTACGACATCAGCTAGACTAAAGATTGTAATATCAAATATCAGGTTTTAGTTCGTTTCAAGATGCGAGTTTTTGAAGGCCAAAGGGAAAATAGCCGTGTTTGTGGTTACTCGTCCTACCCTTAAAGGACCTTTGAAACATTTAAATAGACGAAACGGGGTCTAACGACACATACTAATGTAATATGAGTGTATATAAAGTGATTTGCATTCAATACTTAAAATCATTTTATTTTAATTGATAATCGATTAGGGGGTTGGATGGCCGAATGGTTAGCTATGCGAGCTGTATCGTAAGGCCTGTCATTGAGTCAACTGGCGGGGTTTCGAATCCCCGGTTGTCCGTGAAAAGGAGTAGGGTCGCCTGTCCAACCTCGTGGGTTTTCTGTGGGTCCTCCGGTTTCCTCCCACTGCTAAAGACACCTATACACAGGCGAATTATTGAAATAAAATTAAAACCATATGTTAGTCCCGAAATGACCTAGTTGTGTCGAGTGGACGTTAAACCCCATTTCTCTCTCTCTCTCTCTTGATAATTGATTAAGTCAACATTCCAAATTGTACACGAGGTTTACTGATTTTAAATGTTCATTATGTTTTAAATATTGGATATATCCCATATTGTCGCGGTAAGACAACAACATCAATTTATTGAAATGGGCAAATATTAAATTCTAATTTTAATCTCAAATATGTTGGAAATATTAGGTTATGAAGGTACGCTCCTTTAACCAACTCTGAAATTTTAGTATTTACAAAAGCCCGAATTAGCATTAACTGCATGTAATTTAATCTATAAAATGTTAGGAAATAAGTACCTTTCAGTATTTAAATGACAGACAATGAACGAAGTATCCATGGCATTGACGTAAACGCTGTGTATCACATAAGTATAATATTCAGGGGACGTACTTCTCCTAACGGTACACGCTTGTAAATAGTGTGGCTCGTATAGAAATGCCAACATAACATGTCCTTGTATATAACCATTACCTATAGTCGTTCGGGTGAAACGAAAAACCGGCTCCCGTGTACACATCGGCGTTTACGTTAAAAATTCTTGACAGTTGGAATTCGAAATTAGAGTAGGCGGTAGTGCCCAATCAGTGCAGAACCACTAGAAGCTAAATCCCATTTCATTCTATAACCATTAGTTACTAAAGCGACAAGTATGAAGAAACTGTGGGTTTATTTATCATTTCCAATGTCTACATGTTGAAAATAGATAAGTGTAGGTTATTAAATGATTAGTTTAGCTATTTCTACCCATTCGTCCCCCCACACCCCCACTTTACCTTAAACCATGCACAACCCAACAGCAAACAGACTTTCCCACCGACCTTAAATTGGCCCAGTAACCATAATCATGTGTATTATAGTTTGGCCTAACCTGATTGAATATTGCTGTGACATGTCAGCATAGATATTTGTTTAAAAACATTTTTTGTTTATCCACAATCAAATATTTCATTTCAGTTATTCTATTTAGTTTGGATCTAGTTCTGTATATAATTTTGTTCTTGGGAACTTCTAATTTTTATACCAGGATAACTCAATCCCGAATTACTGAATTACTGATGTTAAAGTTTTGTGTTTAAAATCTAAGCCTGATAATGTTGTCTTGTTAAACATTATAGAATAAATGACATGGTTATGTCGTCTGGTCAGATTGCCCTATGTGTTGACACATGGCTCGGTTGTAGGAAAAGTATTGCACCAGAGTAGTTACTCTATTAATGAAACAAAAGTGCTTACATGAGGTGAGGGGTAGCATAGATTGAATGATATATATGATTGATCCCATATATCATGCACAGGGCTCAAGTGTCACATATACTTATATTCGTCCTTAGTTCGCAATGTGTTCAATCCTCCCGACGTGGTGTCGTCTTCGCTATGTAACTTCATATTTTGTAATACTTCAACACAGTAATGTCTCAACTGTTTCTCAACTATTTGAGTATCTTGTATTAATGTTGTTGATATTTTAAAATTGAATCACTAATGGGATTAATTTTAAGTACACAGTTTACCACTTAAATTATAAAAAATTGTGGTTAAAACCACAGTGTTAACATACTTCGCTAGAATTCTCTAAGTATCAAATTATTCATGAAGTTTTAAAATGTTCTATTTTTCTGCACCGACTGGGATAATCAAAACGGCCTTATTTATGAAAAGTTAAATTGCTAAACAACATATTTGCACAATGCGGGATTTTTATTGACTTAACTATCCCGGAAGCATCGGGAAAGTAGAACAATAAACCCGGTTTCATGATATTGTTTATTACTGTCTCTCAACTTACTAATTTTTCGATAATTTGAGATCTATCTCGACTGATAGTTAAAGATCTCTCTTATCTCGGCAGATATTCTAAATGAGTTACTCGTTTTTTTCGGTACTTGTGGTAATAATATAGTAAATACCCGGCAAATTGTCGTGGAAAAGGGGAGATAACCTACCTTTCTCAATGAAGCGTCGAAACCAAAACGAAGTCATTAAGAACCCTGTGTGTTTGTATCTCCTCATACTCGATTATTTCTACTGGACGTGCTAGACTAAACCAGAAATGTGTCGCGTGGTTATGGATTTGCTGGTTAACAATAAATGCACCCTTTTTATTCTCGTATTAATTCTCTGACCGTTGTCGCATATGATATCCAATGCAGTACAATAACAATCTGACAAATAGTTGACAATCTCGTGATTAATGTACATAGTTGACAAATTTAACATTCAATCATCCTTCCAGAATTTCTAATCATCAAGTGGCGAACGTGGGCTTAGGGACCGAGAAGCTGGTAGCGTTTATAGTCTTCCAATATTGTAGATGACACCCACGCGAAGTAATATGCTTAGTTCTTTTTTTCATTGAGCTGATGGCAACCAGAATTGTTTCTTCAAAGTATTTGTCCAACAATTGACACCAGTATACACTTTACGATCAGTTCTGTTAAATTCGACCTCTAGCTTTCAGAAATGGAAATTCAAAATCCTTACCATATAAATTTTCTCATAATTCACCATAATACGCCGCCCCGTATACCAATGAAGAACCGTGAAAAACCCAAGAGGCTGGACAGGCGACCCCACTCCTTGTCATGTGGGAATCGTCAAAATCTATATTCCCTATCGAGTTCAAAAGGTTTCCGGCAAAGGGGTGGGGGGGGGGTAACTCCAAAATGGACACTTGCAGAACACTGAATATCGATAGGGTTCGCCCTCTTATGACCACAATGCTTAATACCAAGTGTGAAAAAGGTCCATCACCAACTGTTGCCTATATCGCGTTCACAAGCCAATTGTTGAGGGGAGGACGAACCGATGGGTGTATAAACAATGCTCTGATTAATACGTTTGTACATGTAATGTTATCAGATTTACAAACTATGTGCAACAGTAGAATCTACATAGTGAATATATATTAAATGAAAAGAAATCGGCTTTCTTTTGTGCCCAACCTGAATACTGAAGACGTTATAGACCATACAGTGTGCTAATACTGAAGACATTATAGACCATACAGTGTGCTAATACGGACATTTCCGACAATTTTAAACGAATTCCAACTTACAGGGGTTATTTTACGTACAAGCCAACGTGCACAAGGGACCTCGGTTGTTCCTACCGCTCGATGTCTAGACGATGGTCACTGTTGGACCACCCGTCCAACACCACTGACAAGAGGACGCCACGCTGAAACTTTCTCGGCCAACACCGCGATCGAACCCGTACCCCCTGTTTAATAAGCGAGCGTTTTCACCGAAAAAGTGAGTAGATACTAGGCTTAAATTATAATTGATGACACACAAGCTACACAAGACTATATTTGCTAAATTTCTTTTATGACAATCTTTAATTCGTAAACGTTATATGAATAGCCTGTCCTGTGATTGAGTGTATTGCATGGTATGCTGTGCATCTAAATCTTACACAATGCATCTTTAATTTGTAAAATTTATATGACTAATCTGTCTTGTGATTGAGTCTATTGAATAGTGTGTTGTACATGTACGTTATCTGATACAGTTTACTGTTCTCTTTCTACCTAGGTTTCTCGTCTTCTTGTGTTTATAACAAGACATTGGTAGCCAGTCGCCGGTACGTGTGTATTGGTCGATAACATAGGCTGCTAAATTCATGACTGATAAATTGGACTCAATTCTTTATTTATTCTTGACAAATTGTAACATGAGCTATGTTTATGAGCATTATATAGAAGTGTTCTGTTTATAAGGTAAGCACGTATTTATATATGTAACAGAGATTTCTTTAATAACTTAGATAAGGGTACCTTTTCCTTCTGTGTAACTTTTTGTTACGTGCATGGGTTTACTTTTCGTTGTTCTGAACGATGTACTTTATAAAATCACTGACCACTGAAGTTTGAACTCAATTATTTCTAGAATTTTAATTGAATATTACGTTGGAAATTTATTGGTTTTCTACGTACATTGATAATGTGCGCGAGATATGATAGGGTTTTCCTTTTCGCTCATCTGACAACACTGACCACTAAAGTTTGCAATTCAATCATTTGTAGGATTTTATATGGACATTCCATTCTTTCTAAATAAGATACGTGGGCCAAATCTTTTTAAAATAGACTCGCGCAAAGTTTGGAAATACGTCTATGAAGCAATTATGTCTCAACTGCTGATTATCTCTGGAACAGAAAGTCCTAGATTGCTGAAAATGAACATGGTCTATCCTTTCTGATTCCAATGCTTCACACCAAATTTGAAAAACAATAGGACTAATCGCCTTACAGTCATAATGTTTCCAACCAAATGTAAAAAGAAAAATAAGTAGTCTCAGCTCTCCAAACCAAATTTGGAAAAAAAATATGTTAAAAACCGTTACATCTATCGTTTTAACAAGGTTGTTGGAAAAGGGCGGATAACTCCGAACCTGAAGGTCACAGAGTGCTGAATTTCAAGAGAGTTCATCTTCTCATCGTGTTAACATGTATTTTCGGACAAGGGGGGTAACTCCGGAACGCAAGTGCTGAGAATCAATAGGGGTTGTTCTCTCATGATCCCAACTGAGACCAAATTTTGGGAAAAGGGTGGATAACTCGGGAGAAATGAAAGGTCGCGGAACGTTGACAATTGCCCAGCGTCCTCATTTTATGACCATAATGCTTCACACCGAATTAGAAAACAATATGTTAAAAAATGTAACCTCTATCGCGTTAACAAGCCAATTGTTGACCAACAGACGGACGGACATGACTGACGTTATAATACACCCACTTTTCGCTGTGACCATATGTTTGTGTTTAATTGAGACTTGCATCGAACGGCTCTAGTTTGAGATACGTCGCAAAATTTATATGTTTACCGATTACTAACATTCATCTGTGTCGAAACCTCACCTCATCTTAAGAACTTATCTAACTCATCAACTCTAGAAGACAAGTGCCCTTTAACGACAGTAAATTATGGCAATTTACAGTTGTATGTTCGTTCATAATTAATTAATAATTCTTATTATATTATACGTCATGTTTGGTCGATTAGTAATACATCAAAATATGACATTGGTGGGTATCGTTCCCTGGCTAACTTATTTTTAAAAAGAAAATCTGTCGATGTTTATTAGCGTTTAATGAAACATCGTTTCATTCTGCACAGGTTAATAAAAGTCCATGTTCTGTAAATGATCAGAACAAACTTGTAGTGTCGGAACTTTCATTCTCTTGCGGAATATTTCATGGGATTGTCAAAAAATAGTAGTATATGTGGACATTGATTAGACTATCCGGGGTATGCACAAGAAAGAATTTCCTTTATCTTCCAGATATAAACTGATTTGACTTCGCTGTTTAGTCATTATGACCGTGAGGTCCGTCAGATATTACAAGAGTCTGGAATGGTTCTTCAAATCTTTAATACTGGAAACTTATAATAACAATTATCTACATACACTTACAGGACCGCGGATAACCGACTAGTACCTTATGCTACTAAGTCGGATAGACCTAAATGACTGACGTATCAAGTACAATCACATATTTATATGGAATTACTTCTAATCACTTGGCTAGATCAAGTGTTGACGTAAATAAGCATTGATGTAATAATGTACAATATAAGAAATAAAACAATGGTAAATAAAACAATTAATAGATTAATCATACGATTGACATGTTCACCATGCAGGCCATATTGTCAGTTACTTTCTATCTATAACAGTTTTATAAACAATAAGGGATTATAATAAATTAACATGTCATTAGGATTACATAACATTTCACCCTTGGCTAGTCACCTTTTAATAGCACACATACAATTAATGTTTTAAAGGAATAGAAGTTATTGTCCCGAGAGTTTAAATAAATTCAATTTGAAGGCTTTCACTTTTAAAATTAATAATACATTATCTTAAATATTCAAGATTTAACTTATAACGTATAACTACTATAACCTGCACGGTTATATCATTCTTATTATTTAGATACTTGCTCTTACGCCACTATAATATTGTATTATGTTGATATCCGATATTACGTCTCTATGAGTATTATTATTTTGATATCTGATATTACGTCACTATTGTGAATTATTGTTTTGATACATGACATTACTTCACTATAGCGTGTAATTATTTTGTTACCTGCTATTACATCACTATAGAGTATTATTATTTTGATATCTGATATTATGTCACTATTGTGTATTATTATTTTGATATCTGATATTATGTCACTATTGTGTATTATTATTTTGATATCTGATATTACGTCACTATTGGGTACATGTATATATTAGTATTTTTTTTTTTGATAACTAATATTACGTCACTATTGGGCATTACTTTGATATCTGATATTAAGTCACTATGGAGGGGGGGGGGATGGCCTAATGGTTAGCACATGCGCGCTGTATCATAAGGTCTGTCATTCGATTCCCCGATTGTGCGTGACCAGGAGTAGTGACGCCTGTCCAACCTCGTGGGTTTTCTCCGGGTCCTCCGGTTTCCTTCCACTGCTAAATACCCCTACGCGCAAGCGAATTATTAAAATAAAACTGAACCATGTGCTAGTCCCGAAATGACCTAGTTTGTGTCGAGTGGACGTTAAAGCCCATTTCTCACTCTCTCACGTCACTATTGGGTATTATTTTTTATTCTAATTTCTCATTTTTCAATTCTACTAATCATTTCCTCTCGTTTTATGATTTATTTTTGAGTTTTATTACGTATATTATTTCTAATTCCTTAAATAATTTTGTTTTGGGGCTTCAATGAAGCCACAAACTGCCATAACTAAAAAGGATATGCAACAGATAGAGTTAATTAGTAATAACAATTACCAGTTGTCGCCAGCACTTTTCCATTTTTCGTGTCACTTCAAGAGTTTGATTTATTTTTAATTTCAGTTAGTTTGTGACAATGGAAATATAGTTCTGTGATTTGGGATATATTCATCAAATGAGAAGACAAGAACTCTGGATATTAAGTGATCATCTCTGATTTAAAAAAAAATGAAAGTAGAAGGCTTCTCTACACTTCTCGTGATTTTCAGGTAACATTTTATTTGCTACCTGCATAGTACTATTGTTTACGTGTCATATAGGAATAACACATGATACAAATATATAGAATACGGGTTACTTGGAAGTTAATTCCAACTTATATCCCATATAATTTTTTCATGTTTTATTCTGAGTCAATGTGTATGACATCTAGCTGTTCGTAGATATATATATATATATATATAGGTGTTGTAGTTCTTATTTCAATATAAATATTGTATTCTTATGTATATATACGTATTGTAGTTCTTATTTATATATACATGTAATTATTGTAATTCTTATTATATATAATTATTGCAGTGCTTATTTATATATTAGTATTGTAGAATATTGTAGATATAATTATTGTTGTTCTTATTTATATATAATTATTGTAATTCTTATTTATATGTAATTATTGTAGTCCTTTTTTTTATATATAATTATTGTAGTTCTTATTTATATATAATTATTGTAGTTCTTATTTATATGTAATTATTGTAGTCCATATATTTTAATATAATTATTTTAGTTCTTAACGCCGCCTCTAATCTCGAACAAAATGGCGCGTTTTTGGCATTTGGCAAATCTAACCCAACCGTATATTAGAATTTATGGGAATAGCTTATTCGTAACCATAGTAGTTGCCAGAGAGGGAGAAAAATGGGGTTTAACACCTACTCGACACAAACTAGGTCATTTCGAGACTAACATGGTTCAATTTTATTTCAATAATTTGCTCGTGCGTAGGCGTCTTTAGCAGTGGGAGGACCCGTAGAAATTCCTCGAGATTGGACAGGCGACCCTACTCCTTGTTATGTTAGTAGTTACCAATTAGGGCAACTTTTTTTGGGACACTGTATAATAAACAAGAATAAGGAGCCTTTGGTAGCTTCTATGAGTGAGGGCTAGGTGATAAATGATTTGTTTTTTTACAGATGCTCTGTGTAAGATTCAGATAAAGAGCTGACAGTTCTAGATTTAATATATTGAAACATTCAGTCATATTATCTTATTATGAGCGAAGTAGTCTGCGTTTAAGTTTTGATACGAATAGCATATTCTCAATTTGTAATGCTACTGTTGTTACGACAATAAACAATGTTCGTTCGTTCTTGGTGTTTAACGTCTGCTTCCACATAAGTGATATCGCAGACAAGACATAGGAGAGCCGAAGCTGATTCCTGTTTTTTAGAATATGATTTTGCAATCTTTGCATTTGGCCTTAGGCCATGGATTTGGTTTAGTGGGACGTTCTTCCCTTTATTTAATGTAAAACATATCGTTTGGTAGATGATCTCGTCTGCTTCTGGATTGGTAGATGTCATGTTAGTGTTTAGGTGCCAGGCCCGTCTTATCGTGGCCTCCCCTTACTCCACTATCCCACTCTCTGGGTTTGATATCAGTTTTATTTGCGGAATAGTGTTTAGGTGCCAAGTTCGTCTGACCGTAACTCCCCCTTACTCCACTATCCTGCTAGTTTGGTAGATGTTTAGGTGCCAGGCCCGTCTTATCGTGACCTCCCCTTACTCCACTATCCCACTCTGTAGGTTTGGTGTCTGTTTTTGGTGGAATAGTGTTTAGATGCCGAGTCCGTCTGATCGTGACTCCCCCCTTACTCCACTATCCTGCCAGTTTGGTATAAATCCCCTATGTAGTTTAGTGTTTAGATGCCGGGCCCGTCTAACCGTGACCCCCTCTTACTTCACTATTCTACTTAGTCCAACTGTGTCCATTAGGGCGTGGATTTGTTCGAAGATTTGCAGTTTCAGATCTGGTCTCTGGAAGAGTAGGTTCTTAGTGTCGAATGGTATGTTGTTGGACTCCATTGTTCTCACTAGTTCCCTTGTCTCCTCCTTGTAAACCTCGCAGTCTACCAGGACATGGTTGGTGGTACATTCTTCTCCGCACTCACAGATGATGACTTGGTGTTTGTAGTCTCGCAGCCGCTCTTTCACCCTTAGCTTCGATATAAGTCTACAAATATCTCTTCTAGGGTGATTGAGTGTTGTCTTTGTGTAGATCTTGTCATCCAGCCGGAATCTGTATGTGTCAAGTTCAACGAGATTTAATTCCCAGATTGAATTGACGTGTCTTTTGACCATACTGTAGATTTCCGTGGTGCGGTAATCTATGGTGCGGAGTGGTGCTGTGTCCTTGAGACCTTCATTGGCGAGTCGATCTGCCTCCCCGTTTCCTCTAATGTTGACATGTGATGGAATCCACACGAGTTCTACGTTGCTTCCCTTCTCTAAAACCCTCTGGTACAGCTGCCTGATTTCCAAAATAACTTCTGGTCTTGAGTCCGAGTTGTCATTTTGGATTGAAATCAGACTGCTCAGAGAGTCGCTTGGAATGACGAACTTATTAGTCTTTTGATGGGAAATCTATGATATAGCGTCACGAATGGCCACAAGCTCTGCAGTGTACACCGAACAGTTATTGGGCAGTTTCCTGCTTATTCCCTGTTCCCCGTTTAGCAGGTATATTCCAAACGAGCTGGTGCCCCTTTCAGGATTGCGTGAGCCATCCGTGTACACATGGTACCAGTCATCAGACGGCCAGTTGTCTTCCAGGTGTTCTAGAGAGAAAGCACGTGCAGCAGTGGGGTTGTTTTTCTTGTCGGTTTTCTGTAGTAGATCTAGATTAACCGGCGGTATAGGGAGCGTCCAAGGGGCGATCACTGGGGGGTCGTGTTCATTTATCACGAGCTCCCCCAGTCGCAGTTCCTTCCTTGTTTCCTGATACCCTGGCCGAAGCTTTTCTTTCTAGGATCTCTCACATATCTTGTATTTTGTAGACTGACATAGGTTGGGTAGCTTTCGCCCAGTTGCGAGATCTTAGCCCAGTACCTTGTCGCTAGTTCTTTTCTTCTTAGGGATAGGGGCAACTCCCCGACTTCCTGTAGTAGTGCCTCTCTCCCAGTCCTTTGCCCTACGCCAGTCGCAATACACAGAGCTTTGTATTGGATGGTGTCAAGCTTCCTTAAGAGTAATGGCGCGCAGTTCATGAAGGCCAGAGAGCCGTAGTCTAATACAGATCGTCAGCGAAAGCTTTTGCAAGTAGATCTGCCTTTTCATTGCCGTTGGTGACGTACTCATCTCCATTCTTCAGGTTTGGTATGTTGAATGATCTGCGCTTCCCGTTCATGGCGTTCAGCTTCTTCCAGACGGCACCTGTTTGCGTGTTTTGATTCAACGCATTACAGAATGCCATCCAGTGTCCGCTTTGTGCCTTCCGGATCGTGTCTCTTGCGGCGTATTTCAACTTCCGGTAGTTTTGGTGATTGACTTCATTGTAGTAGCGTTTCCGTAGGCGTAGTGCCTTCTTTCTTTCGTTAACCGCTTTCTGACATTCTGGTGACCACCAAGGTTTTCTAATCCTTGATTGCCCTCCAGAAGTCTTGGGAATGGAGTCGTCTGCGGCACCTATAATAGCACTCGTGATGTTGGCTGCGTACACGTCGATGTTAGCCTCTTTTATTTTCCAATTGGGTTTCCCGTTATAGACTTCCCTGGTTGTTTCACATTGGATGCAGAGTTCTATCAGTAGATGGTCGCTACCAAGTGTTTCATCTTCGTGTACTTGCCAGTCGCAGCGGTTTGCCATACCAAGCGTACAGAGTGTGAGATCCAGGTGTGAAGGTGGGGCATTTCCTCCAACAAAAGTAGGGCTCTCGTCGTTCAGTACGCATAGGTCGCTCACTTCTATTATTTAGCATAGGCTAATCCCCCGACAGTCATTCCTCGGTGACCCCCACAGGACGTGTTTTGCGTTGAAATCCCCGCAAAACACAAATTCGCCCTGCGGCAGCTGGTCGAGAAGTGACTGGAAGTCAACTGGTTTTCTCGTGACATCTGGGGGTACATAGACATTCACTATTGTCAATTTTGTATTATTGCTCAATGTGATGGCTATGCCCATTGCTTCTAGAGGGTCCTCTACGTCCAGCGAAACAGAAATATAATTTAAGTTATCACTGACGTAGATGGCAAGACCGCCGCCACGTGTCGTGCTGCCCGGTCTGTCCCTTCTCTGACAAGCGTATCCGGGCAAGTAGATGTCGTTCTTGGTTGGTAGTAGCTTGGTTTCTTGGAGGCATATTACATCTTTGGGGCTGCAGGTGATGTATTTTCTCAACTCAGCACATCTCGGGGCCAGTCCATTAACGTTTAGTTGTAGAACTTTTACCTGGCCAGCCATGATGACTGCCCGGATGGATGCCTCTCTGTCTTGTCTATTTATTGGTCAATTGGCGTTTCACATTCCATAGGAGGTACCTCATTAGTGTTCGTATTTGGTGTTAAAACCGGCAAGCAACTGGGCATATCGCCAGTGCTGTAGTGACGAACATGAGATATCCTTCTACGGAGTGCGAGGTTTGCCGTTTGATCGCCTTTTGTGGTTTCTTCGTCGTCGTCTTCTTCTCTTGATCTTTTTTTACCGTGTTGATTGAATTAATCATGACACACAGGACATCAGGGTTGACCATGTGTGTCCTTATTTTTCCGAGTAGGTTTGTCATCTTGGTAGTTTGGTCCTCATTGGACACGGCCACCCTGAGGAACTCGATCATGAAGCCGCTTTCCATTTTAAATTTAGGAATGAAGTGTGATTCATGAACATTCGTTTTCGGTTCCTCTTCCTTCTTGGATTTGGTCTTGTTCTTTGGTGTTGGTTTGTCTTTTTGGTTGGGTGCCGTGGTGGGTTTTTTCGGCGTTATTTGGGATGTCAATGGAATCGGCTCCGGAGTTGGTTTTTCAACCGGAGCCCTATTCCTGACATCTTTTGTCTTCCCTTCCTTCTTTTTCAGCATCAATGAGGCTTCATTGAAACTTACTTTCTCTTTTACCTGGATCTTTAGAGTTTCCTTGGTGTTCTGGATTTTCGGGCATTCGGGAGAGTTCGCTGCGTGACCGCCTTTGCAGTTCGAACATTTTTTTTGAATGCCCGCCCTGCAGTCGGTCGCCGCAAGACTCCCCCCACACTGGGCGCACACAGTCTTTCC